TTTAGTCGATGTATAAAWGTTTCATACATTTCTATAAAAATTAGCGATATTTGATTGAAAAATTAAAAAAAAAACGGAAAATCTAATWAAAAAAATAGTTGATACGSTAAATATTTTTATGCAAGTGGCAAATAGATGGACAATTTTGTGTAATCACCGTATTGTGTCATGCTGGTGTWCTCGGAGCCGAACATTTCCACTTGTACAATTTTTTTTACCACTTAAAAGCTGGATGTGAACATACAAATACATACTACTTAGGTATTATTCAAATAAATATTATTTTGTGTATGTTGGCTATGGTGACATTTCATATTATAGTCACGATACTTATATGGAATATTGACTCCAAATCAGCTATTCACATTTTAAATACTATTTTTCCCCCTACCAATATTTTAACGTTACTCGGTGATCATTATAAAATTAGTACAATGAATGTAGGTAATTCAATATTGATGGGATTAAATTGGAAAAAAACATATTTTTCATACATGTACTCCACATGTATGGAGTGAAGGTATGTAAAATATTGGTTTACTGACCGTAAAAATATATGAGGAGCACAACAATTACACTGATCATAAAACACATATTTAGAATATGTGTATCATATCATAGACTCTGGTCCATGTAGCTATTGACTTAGCCAGAGGACTTATAATTTATCATATAACTGTTGTGGTATTTTTTCAAATTGATGATAAGTAATTTTTCAAATTAGGTCGTTATCATCAAATCATTCGTACCTAGCATTAGGTTATAGGTACTCTTAACTAGGTACATCAATCGCGAACGAGTAAACAGAGGTAACATTAAAATAACACGTKCAATGTGTTGTACATATGCATATTATATATGCATAATAAACAACTGAACTAGAATACATATCGTCATTATTATTGTTATAACAATTGAATTTCCCGTTCATAACATTCTGTTTGCAGGTCTCCACAATAATAACAAAAAAACACATAAACGAGTGGAGCGCCGAATAGTTATTGCCCGCAGGTTTACACATGCGTGTAATGTGTACACACGTTTGTTGGTGAAATGATTTTTATTCTTTTGAAATCTAAATGAAAACCATTCATACGAATGGCATTCCGTAAAATAGGTGGTGGAGAGAAACCGCTATGTGTCRTTCACATATTCGTAAAAAAATCAAAGTAATATGTCCAACCGATACGACGACAAAAACCAGCATACATTTTTGTGATGAGSGAAACGAAAGGGGATACTACAAAYTCGGAGGGTAGTAATGTTTTCTACGAACGTGATAATAATTTAGAGTAAATAGTTTTTTTTTTCAATCTCTACGTGATAAAAAAACATACGTTCATCGAATTTTATTTATATGCTCACGACATTCCGCAGAYATACGAATAGTTTCAGTACAAAGGTTCGAAAATGGCTTGGTGAGCCGTGGTTGTACGCTCAATCTGCGGAAACGCACTGAGCGTACGTACTGGCCGCAGTTGCTACTTCCCAGATGGGTGACCACCCGGGATTTTTAGCAAAATATCCTTGCCACACATACACAAACACGTGTTACAACCCTGTCCACTTAAAAACCTACAAACAAATACAGAAAAATAACYCTTACCGTACCACTCCTCACCCAAAGGCATATGTTGCCGCGGGTTCYCCTAAAAAAAAAAGGTCCGAAAATATGAAATCAAAAAACTATCGACCTATTTTTGCGAGTGAAATCTCCCATTTTTACTTACTCATTTTTCTCCGAAAACTTGACAAGTACGAGCTCAGACTAGGTCATCGTATTTATATTGAAATCGAACAATTGTGATTCCGGAAAAAAAGACCTCCCTTATTGAAGTCTCATTATATGCACATACACAATTTTGGATTTTTATTTATTACATTAAAGTATTATGTATATTTTTATTTTGTGCATTATGTTATAMGAAAACAGTTAATAAGTTTGCCGCAGACCACACTGTTGATATCCACGAGAGAAAAATATCTAATTAATATAATGCTATTAAAATTTTTTAAAAATCAGCGTCACGTGAAATCGGCAATGTGGTATTATAATATTATATTGGTCAAAGAACACACGCTACGACAGCAGTATTCGTACATCACGTACATAATATAATATTAATGTAATTAAATACGATATGAAGAATAATTAGTATAATACACATTATCTTAGATGCATTTCAAAAAACTGTAATAATTTACTCAGTTATTAAAAAAGATATGCTTTATGAATTTTTTTTTTCAATAATTTTACTTTTGTAGTTTTGCGACCTTGATTATTTTTTTTAATGAATTGATGCCTAAGTTTAACATATCTCATGAAATATAAAAAATATATAAATACTAATATTTATRTAGGTAGTGATTATATTCACTATACTACCACTGTTTTTGATTTTTTTTCTGWTCATCATCTAGAAAATTATAAGTCAAAACTTTAGTTCGATAACAAGTATATTTAAGAACTATAGGTATCTTTTCAAGTGTGAATAGGTTTGATAAATCGGAATCGATTTATTTTAAACCATTTCACTTATATAGCATCTTATATTTTTGACGATGACTTTACTAAGCCTCTTTTACCAACTTGTACTTCTGTTTACCTGCGATAAAACTATTTTTTTATCTATATGACTATTTCATCTAATTTATTGAATCTGAAAAAGATATTTCCTTTTAGAAGTTTACTTGACTTATATCAATAAATTGTTCAATCTGTTTTTCTTCTATTCTATCCATGATATTATAATACCTAATACTTTGTTTTTAATATTATATTACATTCAACTATAATCATAAAAAAGTTATATATTGATACATTTATGAGTCGTCATTTCATTATATGTCTCGTTAGTTTAAAAATTATATTTTCTTCAAGTTCAGATATTTTTTATTGACACTTTGTACTGCAAGAATGAAGTTACTAGTACTTGATTTATTGTACACAATTTTGTCTTTTATAATAACACACTTTAAACCCATAATTTGTTTCTTATATTTTCTCATGGTACCTAGTTGCAGATTCATAAAGAGATCCATAAGCTTAACCTTGTCCTTTGAACCATCAAACCCACTTGATTTTTCTTTTGATGTATTTTAGTTATCTCAAGTAAACCTAAATATCCGTGATTTAATGTCTGGTGGAATGGTTCTTAAATAAAAAATAACATAATAAACTATATACCTAACAACAAATTTCATAACTTTATTTTGTTTTCCAGTTTATTTTTTTAGTTTTATTGTTTATAAGAGAAAAACGAGCAGTTACTCAGAATACACTAATTGGTATAAGTTAACAAAATACACTATAATAGAAAAGAAAAAAAGAGAAAATTAATAAATTAAATATGATAAAAATAAATTAGTTAAAAATATATTAATATATTATAATTAAAAATAATGATATTACATCATTTGACAGACAATGAATTCTGTATATGTATGTTAGGATTGTCACGAGGAGGAAAATGTATATCTGATGCATATTCAATTAAGTGTAAAAACATTAATTGAACTCGTCAAATTTTTGACTAGCATTAGCTATCTGAGGGTCTCATATAACGTAGTCACTTACAACAATTTGTCTAACAAATGACAGTAAACACTTTTCAGAGAGATTGAGAGTTTAAGCTAACCAAAATACACTTTTGATGAAACTCAATACACTGAGAGTTCTTTAAAATATAACATTTCCAACGTGAGTATAGTGACAAAGAAACGAAGTGAAAGCTAACCCAAGATTACAAACTACAAAGTATATTAATACTGTTATTACAGAGAGCTAATTAGAACCATAAATAAAATATATTATAAGGAAAAGTTATTGGTAGTGACCACTATTGGCTGACATATTTTTTCAAGAATTGATATAAGTCTTATCCCAACTGATAAAAGTATTACGGTCATTCTGAATCTTAAAACGRTCCTAAAAAAATTGTTTTTCAAAAAAATGTTCATATCATATAGAAGACAAATATCTAGTTGTGTTTTACGGTAAAAAAAGTTATATTCAAAAACAAAGAAAATATTAGGGGAAATAAATTCTACTATTGAGAAATTCCGTATGKTGATAAAAAAAATACCTCTGATTTTATAATAAACAGAGTGACCAAACGCAATCTGTAGTAAAAAAAATAAAATTGAATGCTAACTGAAATRTAAACTTTGTCATCATCGATTTAAAAGCCCTAAGTCAATTTAATGGATACAATTTATATAATTACAAATGTGTAGTCGCAAGTTAAAGTAGATCCACTTGAGCGGAAACTGTGTGTTCATTAACAACAACATGTCGGCAGAATACCAAATAGCACAGAACACTATCTTATCAAATGATAATGTAACATGTGTCCCAGTATAGAAATTTTCCTAAATATCTGTTTGTAGCTATTGTCTTTTAAAAATACAGTTTAGTTGAGCAGATTTCTGTAACACAATAACTGAAAAGAAACAAAAGAGAGGATAGAACATAGAACACAGTGAACCAAATTCTGTAAATAGTAAACTATACCAATGTTCGGAGCTACCAKTGTAGTTATTTAGTATAGAGCGGTTAGTTTTAAAGAAGTAGAAAATTAATAATTGTCGGGCAAATCAATAAAATATTGAATATGATAGTATTACATTTACCATTTCACTATGAATATACTGAATTATAGTGATTTACAAATATATTAACAGTGTCTTGCACTCGTGTAACTGCACCCAGTGATAACAATTTTCAAAACACATAAATTATAAGAATTTTTATGGACAAAGCTTCAACTCTTGCAAAGAATATGTTACAGTCATAACACTTATCCTTATAYCGCCGTTATGAATGAGATATTACTAGCTCACGCATTACAAAGTCTCGTTTGTTTTCAAATCGCTGGTTTGAATTGAATGAGATAACAACGCCAATTATAGTTCCTATTGATTATTTATACATATATCTTTAATTGTTTTAAAGGTAAATCGATCAAACATAAAATTATAATATACCTTTCGTTTTTCAGACGTTGTTGTATCGAAAACGAGGTGGTGCATGAGTACACGGGCAAAACAWATAGTCATCTTGTCGGGAGCCCAGCGATCACCATGACTTTCAGGCTGGCAGAGTCAGCGACAGGGCCGAAAGTTCACCGACGCCCGGCGTGATTTACGCCGCAGACACAATGACGACCAAGACGACGATGATTTTCGCAGCGGCCGTTATGGCCACCGTGCTAGCAGCGGCCGCTGGCTGCCCCCTTGGATGTACGTGCAAGTGGAAGGGTGGCAAGCAGACGGTCGAGTGCGTCAATCGTAGTCTGACGTCCATACCGGTGGGCATGGACGCCGGAACTCAGGTACTGGACATGTCGGGAAATTCGATGGATACACTGTCCAGGGGCCGGTTTATGTCGGCCGGTTTGTCCAACCTGCAGAAGATCTTCATGGCTCGGTGCCGGATCACGTACGTGGACGACGCCGCGTTCCAGGGACTATCCAACCTGGTCGAGCTGGACCTGTCTGACAACGGGATCACCGACATACCGACCAAGTCGTTCGACGACTACCCGCAGCTGATGAAGCTAGTGCTGAGCGGTAACGCGGTGACGGTGATACGTACGGCCGCATTTAAGCGGCTCGCTTACTTGACGGTGCTCGATCTAAGCCGGTGTCGGGTGTCCACAATCGAGCCCGGCGCGTTCGACGGCCTACACAACATTGAGTGGTTACGGCTCGACCACAACCAGATCGTCCGGATCGAGAGCGCGGGCACGGTCGTGCTGCCGCTGTCGCTGCACGGCATCGAGATGCACCACAACCCGTGGACGTGCGACTGCCGACTGCGAGACGTGCACCGGTGGCTGAACAACAACAGCGCTCCGCACACGGTCGAGCCGACTTGCCATGGACCGGACAGGTTGCGCGGTTCCGTCATCCGCAAGTTGGACGCCGAAGAGCTGGCGTGCACACCGGCGGCAGCGGCCACGTCTCCCGAATACGTGGAAACGGACGCCGGAAAGAACGTGACGCTCGCGTGCAGGGTGACGCCGGCCGGGCAAGCGCGAGTCTCGTGGTGGTTCGAGGGTCGGCAGGTGGCCAACGGCACTACGGCGGCCGCCATGGAGCTGACCATCGAGGACGCCGGGCCCGCGGACAACGGGACGTACGCGTGCGTAGCCGAAAATCGGGCGGGCTGGGCCGCGTGCAACTTCACGGTGCGTGTAGTCCAAGAACTTTCAGAGGTGGCGGCTGGTTCGTATCCGCCGGATGCACCCCCGCCCGTGTTGATGGTCGTCGTGCTGGCTGGTTCGGTGTGTTTCGTGACAGTGGCCGTGGTTTGCGCAATAAGTTGCCGTTTGATTGTGGCAAAACGCCGTCGGCGTCGGGACCACGGTAGGAGACCTGGTGGCAAGTCCGGTGGCGTTGGAGGTKGTGACACGGGCGTTGACGATCCGTCCAACAGCGGGCAGGGAACTAAGACGACGTCCGATATCCGACAATCGGACTCAGTGAATCTGACCGTTTCGTCCACCGTCGACGGCAAGCTATCGTCGGCCGAGGACGTAAGCGTGTACGGCGAGTATGACRCGACCGCTGGCCTGGGGTCGTCCGCCGGTTACGAAGTGCACGAAGTGCTGCACATGGGTGGTGGTGGTGGTAGTGGTGGTTACGATGCATACCAACAGATGCACGTGGCCCCGGGACATCCGGCCACGGTGACTGCCAGCACCACTCTGGAGGCCAATCCTGATCTGATCAGCGACGCTTCCACCGTGATCAGAGACAACAGTGGCGGTGACTACCGCGACGCCAGCGATGAGGTGTACAAGATAGCCATACCACCGCCTCCATCGAGTGGCCGAGACTTTTGGACGACTTCCGGTGCGAACGGTGCAGCCATCATTTACCCGTCGGGTGGTGTCTGTGGGTCTTACGAATTGCAACTGTCGCCTAGCAAGTTAGCCACCGGCGAACCGTATCCGGCTGATTATGGGCTGCCCAAGTTATCGTCCGGCCAATATCCGATGCCGGCGCCACCAGCATTGTACAGAACGCTTCCGCACCGCCGGAATGCGGCCAAACCACAAGGCCGGTCGTGCCAGGAAGCTGAGTTTGTGCTGTTACAGCAGCAYCACCATCACCACCATCATCACCACCAGCAACAGCAACAGCGCCAGCACCACTTGAACCGGTACGAACCACTAAACGTCCGGTACAACCAGCAAGGGTACCCGTACCCGCCGTCCGCAGTTGCCGCGGACGCGGCGTACTATGCGACGGCTGCGGCCACTTTTTACGAACCACCGTCATTGTCKAACGCATCCGCGCAGACACTTGATGACGAAACKATGGTCATGATGATGWCGATGCCGYCACCACCGCCGCCACCGCCACTCGTGACCGGAGCCGCCACGTTACCTGTTACGGGTAGACAGCCGCAACACTTGTCCGCCGAACACGCGAGCCAGCACAAGGCGGTCACCGCCGTGCAAAAGCAACCGGCCAACACGGAGAGCCCGGACGAAGGGTACGTGGGTGAAGGGCCTGACTCGTAGACCGGTTGCGAGCAGCAACCGGACGTCCGCCCCTAGAAGTCATGCCGACGGACGTCACCATTGTACATAATTCGAGAATAATATCGATATATTTTATCGTTATAAAAGCTGTGAAATGTGAAATATTTTTGYTGTGCGTRATTGTTGGCAGGTCCACACCGTAGAAATAGCGCTGTAAAAACATAATTTGATATTTATCTACCATTACACTCATACTCACACTGTAATGGACCCTTTCGAAAAAGGTCAACTGCCATTCGACGGATTTCTCAGATCGTTATAGGTCGATAATCGAAGGGCGTGAYATCGTGCGTCGTGGACCGTTAAAGTTAGATGACGTCATTAAATTATAAAACATATTATATAATATATTGCACTAGATAATAAACAATGGAGTCATGTTTAGTTCCGTTCGCATCCCAACGCTAATGAAAATGTAATCTATTACTTAATTGTATGTATTCGTGGAGTGATCTCAATTAATGGACCTAATAATAAATGTATTTTTTTTTTTCAAAAACAAAAAAATGACGTAAATTTATGTTTTTTTTTTAGACTATAATACAGTAAGTTTAAATCACATTCTGATATTGCCAAAAACAATTAATTATTGTTTGAAATAATATTTTTTTAGTGTAACTGTTATTTTTAATTTACGAATAAAATATTTTAGTCTTAAGTCGTTGTAACGACACCACAATCTTTTTTAACAACAATGCTGAACAGAATCTTAAAGAAAGTTTGAATTTATTATTTTCCTTTTTCATAAAAACTTTATCCGCATAAAAAGATTGAAATTTCCAATTCATATCATTATCTTCAGATTAAATTTAATTTGACTTAAATTATCATACTTAATAATTTATTTTTTATATATATTTATAAATATATGTCCACGRCGTACTCGCGGTAAAAACACTTATAAATGTATTTCCCTTCTCTCATGAAAATAATTATAATAACTAACACGAAATGAAGATAATATAAACYATAATAATAYGACAATCCATAATTATTACGATGAAAAAAATACAATAAAGTAATAGGTAAAACGAAACTCTTTTAAACATTGCATTGTATTTGGCTCAAATTTATCCGCCTTTAATTTTCCTAAACAGGTTGGGTCTATCAAAATAATAAAAAATATRTATCTTAACCTATTATTCACAATTCACCGAGTAAAATATTACACGTAGTGAAACGTGTTTCCGTTCGCTTTCGGTTGATCATAATAATATTTTGTCAATCGAACGATTTGATTTTAAATTACGACATATTCTCGTAGGTAGTAAAAATAAAAATTGTTCGTGATTATATTATTATATTTCAACTCTGCATTTGTTTAAATCGGGATTCGATGAGTAATTAAAAAGCGTAGGTAGTTAATTATCTTAATAATAATATGTACATAWATAAAAAAAAAAATTAAAAAATGATTATGTAACTCGTTAATATTAAAAGAAAAGTAAAAAATAATACTCATCGTATAAATCACTACGAACGGCTTAAATGGAACTTAGCTAAAGTATTGCACGGGAAAGCGGGAAACAGTGAAAAAAAATAAAAATAAATCTGCTGCGAGAATTCAAGCTCRGAAATGTTAGTGGATTTATTTTAAAGTCTCGGACGCGTGCGGGACTGCTCTTTCGCGAACCTCCGTGCTTTTTCGGCAAACCGATGATTTATAATAATTTTCCACACCATTAGGCCCCGGCATGGCCGTGGGATTGATGTAACAATAAAACGCTTAGTTGTCCGAAACTATGTCGGGCGACCTATACATAGTAAAAAGTGGCCGGCGCATTCCATCGTGAACAGTTTTACTCTCATGTCGCGCATTCCAGGGAGGGGAATTTAATTTCAWCGAGTCCAAAATGGGGCCGATTGTAAATAACCCGTCGATTCGATTCAATACTATTTATAACACGTCCCGTATCCGTAAAATTCAGTTTTCACTAAACATTTTGGACGTAAGAGAGCAAGAGAGGGAAATATAATAATAATCGTCGTGTCCCCCAAAGTGGGGACAAAATCAAACTGATATACATAATATTATAATAGTATATGTATATCAATGATCTTATTTCATGTTAATAATATAATATATTATATAACTTGTTAAGCTATAACTATATCATTGTTGTATATTTACGAGTATGTTAATTATTGTAGAAATATGTTGCCGTGCCAATTTTATTTGGCATATTGTTATATTGTATTACTCTATAATATTATAGGTTCCCATTAGTTTTATTATCATCGAAAGAATTTAATATTAGTGTTTTTTTACCAGAGAACCATGATAATATTATGACATTGTATATGTATGTACTATATAAATATATATTATTGCTGATTATAATATTTATGGTAAATAAAAATAATAATTTATAGTCATTTAAATAAGACGTTTATTATTCGTCATTACAGTTCAACAGCCATCATCAATATAACACATCATCATCTTGTCCAAATTATTACTCCTATAGTTTCCATCATATAGTAAACAGGTAAGTAATTA